ACCGTTCAAGTAGTTATTCAAACAACATTGAAAATGACCGAATTATGTTTCGAAATATATGTTGTACTTATTTTAATTTATGTTAAAATTATTAAAGATTAGCAAATATAATTTAGCTATTGCTCTTAGCCTTCTATACTTATCATTATTGTAAAATAAATGTTTTTCTATTGAACGAATGATACATTGTTTGATACTTAGGGGCCTATTTTGTAACTTTTAACGACTGTAACGATATCGTTATCGATACATTATTATTGGTTTGGCAGGTTTTTGTATATCGCAATATAGCTGCACAATGATAATTTAACGATATCGTTCGAGTCGTTAAAAGTTACAAAATAGGTTCCTTAAAAGCGTTTGAATGCGTGATTAAAATGAGCAACATTTTGCTTCTACTTGAAGCATTAGTTTTATTTTGAATGACATTATTTCAATCATGTTTATCAATTATGTTAATCATTATCATCAGTTATATTCATTAGATATTACGTTGTGATATTTAATACTTAACATTTTTATAATGTTTGTATCTCTTTTTGTATGTTATTTTCAGGCTTGTTACAGAGCATCAAATATGGCAACAAAACCTTGAAAAGTGAAGAAGCATCAAACTTTTTTGGCAGTAACGTACAATATTCGTATACTGATTTTAGCAGTGTAGATCATAGAATCAAACTGCATATTATTTTACATGTATTTGAACATGAGAATGAAGAGCTCGTATTTCTTCTTAAGGTATCTAGCTTAAGATATAATTCATCATCTCATTTAATTAATTATATATGACAAGTTGTGTGGAATTAAATAGAATTATAGAATAGATATATATTTTTTCACTTTCTCCCATCCTGTATCTATAGGCAAACATTTTGTTGCACTCTATGCAAGAAACATTTTCTGGATGCTTAATATTATCTACATCTAAGGTTTACGTTCTTAGGATCGACGGGTCAGAAGGGTAAGTTCATATTTTGGCATAAATCTTAATGTTCAAAATCATAAAAATTTTTAAGAAAAATAAAGTGTTATTTTTCATTGTGTTCTTTAATAAAAACTTTATTCTTAAATTCTATTCAACTATAATTAATTTGAAATTAACAGTAGAATTTAGTTTTATCTATTCTGCTGTTATACATATGTATAAATTTGCGAGAAAACTTGTTAATCTTAAATTATAATAAAATTTAGTAAAAGATGAAAAAAGGAATTTGTAACAGGGAAGATCCACAGCGTTGGCTTCACAAGGAAATCAGTTGGACAACGGACAGATTGAGATCCATTGTACCGCTGCCATTTAAGCAAGGTGTCTTAATTGAGTTACAACAGTCTGGAAAAGCCGGCGAAGAGCATCTCGTTATCACTCTGCTTTGCATTCTGCAAGATTTCCAAAGAACGTCAAATTTTTTATTTTATATCACAGGTAAAGTGTGCTTTAATTAATAAATAAGTGAGATTTAATTTTACAATAAATGATTGTAAGGCTGGGTCCACAACCTCGCTTTAAGAGGTTCTAAGCCGTAAGAAATTGACCAATCACAGTAGATTATTTTTCTCACATTCAATTATGATTGGTTAATTTCTTATGGCTTTACAGCTTAGGGTCTCTTAAAGCGAGGTTGTGGACCTAGTCTAAGACTTTAAATATATTTATACCGGGTGTTTCAGACCACTCTTTTATTTTCGCAAGATAACGTCCAATTGAATAAGAGTTCACACACACACACACACACACACACACAGATAAAAAAGTTGTAGAATTTAAAAAGATCTCTTTACTGGTTCCATCAGTTTAATCTTAAGTGGCTTCGTTTTTGAAAGGCATTTGAAAATTTTTAATCATCAGTTGGACATTATAAGTAATGCTGATACCATAACAGTATTATAACTTTAAGCCTTATAACTCAAAAAATACTCAATAGAAAAATATTTTGTTATAGTGTTTTGAAAAGCTTTTGAAATAAGCTATAAGAACATGCATTAAAAAATGAGGATTTCCTTTTGAAAAATTGTCATGACCTTGACCTGACCTTGGCGATCATCTAACTAATAAAATCAGTAAATAGATCTTTTTAAATCTTACAACTGTTATCTGAACACTTTCGATTAAATGTTATCCTGCGAAAATAAAAGGATGGTATGGGTGGTTTAAAACATGCGTTATATACAGGGTGTTCCCGGGTTAAACAGCTAAACTTAAAATATGAATTTATGACTTAAAAACAAACAATGATTTTCCTCTGGTATGCTCGTAAACCCGTTGAACTTCGTTCAAGAAATATTTACTTCTGAAGTTATACAGTACTGTAGGAATGAATAACTGAAATATGTCATGTTTTTGCTTTGAAGCTCAAAGGTCATTGATAGACTTTTGTTTGCAAAGCTCGTAGTTGTAACTCGTAGTTGTAGCTCGTAGTTCGTAGCTATTAGTCCGTTAATTGCTTTTGTAGAATAATTTTATCATATCTCGTACGTATTCTAATAGTGAATATGCCGATATGGTATATTTATATGGGTTTTGTGACGGAAGTACTAACGCTGCTCACCGTGAATAGTGAATACGCTGTGCGATTTTCGAACAGAAGATAGCGGATAAATCAGTATTTTTATTAATCTTTAATATTAAATTTTTTTTACATTTTTTATTAACGTTAAATTTTGATTATTGTAAAGTAATAAAGAGGATAGACAGACCTTATTTCGATATTATTCATTCTTACAGTTCTGTAACTTTAAAAGTAAATATCTCTTGAATGAAACGTTTGCGAGTATACGTCCAGAGGAAAATTTTTGTTTATTTTCAGGTCCTAAATTCATTATTTTTAATTTGGCGGTTTAACCCGGGAGCACTCTCTGTGTATATATATATATAATTACATCAAATATATATATGTATATATATATATATGATGTGATAATTCATTTTCCTTCTATTTATGATATTTTTCTGATGATAGATTTGCAGTTACCTGCAAGCTGCGAAGTGGAATTCTCTATTCCAGAGCGTTACAGCATTTTAATGCACAACATACTAACTAATACTGCCAATTATCAGACAGGGGACATCGTACGATTACTAGCAATATTTTCCTCCGCAATTTTGAAATATCAAAATATCGCTATCAAGCTGAAATTATCTGGATTGATATTGACAGGTGCAGCGCTGGTGATACTAAAGGACAATGTTCAATGGCTTATACCAGATAGCGATCAAGTGCCTTTAGTCACTAGAGAACAAGCTATAAGCAATTTGATTGGAATAGTCAGTAATTTTCGATAATGTCTGTCAGTTGTAACTTCTTATAATTAGAAAGAGATAATGCTTTTAAATAGTTGCGCTTTATGTAGTTTTGTTTTAAGTACAATACACAAAATAAAAGAATAAAAACTATTAAGTTTGGGGAAATCGACTCATTAAGTTATACCAAATTTAAAATGTTTTGCGATTGAGTCGTTTGTGCACTATCTCTTTCTATATTATCCATTGTACATTTATTTTATATTTACTGATTTATAATGTAATAATTTTAGGAACATTGTGACACTTGGTTAACTTTAAATTTTTTGGACGAGATTGCGGGCCTCGAAGAGAGCTGGACATTGGAATTTGTCTCTTCAGGTGCTGTTGAGGCTGTAATAAGTTCTATTCAGCCTCCATGGGAAGAGTTATTCTCGGTACCTCTGCAAATAACGCGTGTAACACAGGATGATGCAGAAGAAGCTTAAATGGTACACAAATCAAATTTCTAGTGAGTTTTTCTACATTACCTTAATAAACTTTTGTCTTATATCTAGAAAATCCAATTGATTAAGAATAACTATTATAAAAGAAAAAAAACCTGCGATGCCCTATTACAAAAGATTGACTTGCTGAAACAAAATAGAGAGAAATCCAGATATATGTATAATTAAAGAAAGTGTACGTGCGTACGTGCGTGCGTGCGTGTTGAACTTAAAAAAAATTTATTCAAACATGTTTTATTCGAAATACTTAACATTTTAAAAGATGTCCTTTTTTTTACATATTTACACAATTTAGATGTTTTATATGTTTAATATTGTTTACGTTATTTGTGGTTTGTAATAGATTTAAATTGATGAATTGAGATAAATTTTGCACAATCTATAAACACGAAGACATTTTGACATAATAAAGGAGACATAAAGAAATAATTGATTCTCAATGAGAGAATCTGAAAGAATTTAACATTCAAGACGGATTTAATAAAAGAACAAGAAAATAATGACAAAATTATAAGTAAAAAATATCAAAGGTATGATTCTCAATGGTGCTACACTATTAATTGTAAATATTTAACTGTAAATACTTTCGTGGTAGAGAGAATTACCTTTTCTTGTATTAACTTTTGAACCAAAATTTCTCCACAATATTGTATGCATGCAACAACCTCTTTTGTATAAATTTCTTACAATTTGTGTTGTACATTTAGCAATTTAATTATTAATTATTTCTGATTATAAAAATGTCAGACTGTGATACATATATTTAGAATTTTCTAATAAGTGCAAAACTCAGGTATTAATAAATCTAATTTATATCGTGAGAATATTGTAATTTATATTTTGTATATATAACAAAACATATAAATAAATATAATTATAATCTCTTAAAGTATACTTTTTCGATTCTTATCTCTTTGATTATTATCATCTTCTATGATCCTCGAAAGACGAATGTAATGGCTATTTTTTATTACTACATTAGATTGCATTAGAACTTTCTTTCTTATTTTCATTAAGTATCAAACATGTATCTATTTTACTTCAAATTGCAAAAATGTACACTAGTTCAACTACAGGAAACAGACCTTGTAGTAAAACGACCTACTTTATTGCATTTTATGCATTATATTATAATGGAAGAAGCATCTTGCTACACTTTTGTATTACGAGTCATGTCTGTAATTTGAAAGATTACGACATATGCTATTGATAATGATATGCACTACTGCAAATTACTTAATAAGTACCCGCGTTCTCCATACCTTATATAGTATTGATATTTTAGTTATTCATTCGTTTGCGGTTCCTTCGTCCGAGTAACCATCTGTCAGAGTTTCGAGCATATATTTTATAGAAGGTACAATTTCATACATACACATCTTAGTTAATAATACGGAGCGTATTATTGGTACAATTTTTATTGATCTAAGTATTGCAAAAAAATGATTAATGTATGTAAAATAACAAAGATAAAAAAGAGAGAGTTAGGCAAGAATTAAGAAAGTTATTATCTTATAATGTAATATATCCATGATATTTCTGCGGTGGAAGTTTTATTGAAATTTCACGAAAATTTCATAGAAAGTGATATTTTAATAAAATTGCTAGAATTTTTGTATTGCGAATGATTTTTAAAAATAAATTTAGTGAAAAGTCGCTGAAAAGTTAAAATTTTTCTATTACTTTTTCGAAAATTTCTTTAGAAGTCTTCAAAAAGTCTTTAGAAATTTCACTAAAAATAATTTAAAGTCAAATTGATAAAAATTAGTTAAAAACTTATTATATATAATTTTTTCAAAAAATTCGAAAAAATTTGCTAAATTTCTCTAATAATTTGCCGCGAGTTCAGTACGTGGACACCATATGGTTGGTTACCATATGAATGCAGTAGAGTCTTATTTTTCGTAATAATTAAAATATCACACAGAATTGAACAATAAGGAGGAGTATTATAAGATTTTTCATGTTTTATTGATTCCTTTAAAAAATCAGGGTTCTCACGGGTTTGGAAAACCGGGAAAAGTCAGGAAATTTAAAATTGGTCAGGGAAATCGAGAAATGTTAGGAAAAATATAAAAGAATCTTAAATTTTAAACTATGCTCGTAATTCTCTTAAAATGCTTTTATTTCAAATAATTGTAATTTTTTAAACATTATATCTAAGGTTTATAGTCAAGTACATTTAAAACTCTCTTGCGCACTTTACAAATCATTCATTACTACGAGATGGCGCTTTTGTTCTTTTTTTTTAATATATAAATTAGAAATTTCTCGAAATGGTGTTTTTTTGTTCCATATAGTTTAATACGAAACTTAAATTTAATTGACTTTGTTACAATTAAATGTATATTTTATCAAATGTAGTGATTTATAAAATAATTAAAATTTATAATAAAATGATTAAAATTTATATTTTATTCACTTTTTATTTGATTACCTTTTTTGTTATAATTGCATTCTTTTTTTCAATACTTATTAATTTCTTTTTTACTTGAATTTATACAAGATTTTATTATACTTTGTCTTTTAGGTTTTCGTTGTGTTCAGTAATATAGGCTAATTTTCCTACTACTCCTATTTCTAAACGTTAAAATTTACATACATAGAACCTTGATTATCCGAATCACAATTACCCAACACGTTGCTTATTTGACCTTGTCGTAATTAAATTATTTATATTCACATAATGTCCCTCTCTTTTTTTAAAAATCCCAATGAATCTGATTTACATCAGGTCCGACAATCAATATTTTATATTGATTAGGAAAAATTCTTCATTCTCATCTGGAAAATCTAGAAAAATCAGAGAATTTCAGAATTTATTTTTTGTGGGAACCCTGAAAATCGACGAATCCTTAAAATATTGAATTCCAAGTACAAAGATGAAAAAGTAAATGAGATATATTTTTGATAGTAATAAACATAAAAATGGGATTGTAAGAGTCATATTAATAAGAATAATAATTTAACAGCAAATTTAAATCATATATTTTAACTTTACTTATTGAAACAACGCTTAAAATTAACTTCTAATACAATACAACAACGACAATGACGTATGACATTATATTACATTATTAACTAGTTTCGACCATATATTTTGGTCCTCTTCAGAATAGACATTAATTAAAGATACCGCCACAAGACTAAGAGAGATTTATAGAATTGTTATAAAAATCTGTAAAAACAATATGAAGTTGAATAACTATAAAATTTAAAGTGAACATATAATATTAGAAATGACTAAGATTATTTTTTAAAAATTATAAAATTATAAAGTTATAGATGAACGTGTCATGACATAAGAACATAGTTGTAATAAAAAGTTAAATAATTTATAATTACAAAAAATAATGAACACAGATTGGAACATGATTATGATTTTCAGTGGGACGATGTAAACAAAGTTTGATTTTCCAATATCAGATATTGCCTCTTGGTTTCAATACGTGTTGATCTGTTGCGGAAGGCAGACGTATCTATGCATAATCTATTATACAATGCATTACGACACAGTTTTATTGTTATTTTTATTATTGTGAGATATCTTCTTTTTATTGGTGGTTTTGTTGAAATCCAATTTTTTATTGACTTACTGTACATGCATAGATACGTGGATCAACAAACACTTTTTAGTTGAGACAAAAAATCTTTAGGTATGTTTGCACACTGTATATTATTTTTTGTAATTATGAATTATTTAACTTTTTATTACAACTATGTTCTTATGTCATGACGCGTTCATCTATAACTTTATAATTTTTTAAAAATAATCTTAGTCATTTCTAATATTATACGTACACTTTAAATTTTATAGTTATTTAACTTCATATTGTTTTTACAGATTTTTATAAACAATTCTATAAATCTCTTTTAGTCTTGTGGCGATATCTTTAATTAATGTCTATTCTGAAGAGGACCAAAATATATGGTCGAAACTAGTTAATAATGTAATATAATGTCATACATCATTGTCGTTGCTATATTGTATTAGAAGTTAATTTTAAGCGTTGTTTCAATAAGTAATGTTAAAGTATATCATTTAAATTTGCTGTTAAATTATTATTCTTACTAATATGACTCTTACAATGCCATTTTTATGTTTATTATTTTGTATAAAGAAAGAGTCCTTTGTTTCTTCTTAATTTTATTATTGATGGTACAATTTCGTTTAAGAAAATTGTAAAAATTAATTCAAAAACCAATCTTGTATTTATGTGTTAAAATATGTAATTTTACGTTTTCAAATGTATTTAAATTTCGTTAAAATTTTGTTGAAGTGTTCCGAAATACAGTGGAACAATTTTAGCAAAATTTCAGTTAATTTTTCGGCAAAATTTTTCCATGGGGAATAAATTCTAACATTCTTATATACGCATTCACACATGTATATAATTATCAATCCTTACACAAAAATAATTTAGAAATGCGTATCCTGCAAATTGTAACGGCATGGCTCATTCTCATCGTTATACCACACTATGGTTTTGGATACATCCATGGTTTTGGATACAGTAAGAAAGGTATGATAAATTATTTGTTAAATTTCCGTTTCTATATAATTTGTTAATATTAGAGAATGATCTGATCGGTGTCGAAACGTTTGTTGTTTATAATTTAAATATCTTCTTTGTTTCTCTTCTTAATTGTAATATTTTTATTTCGGCTCGTTGCCCGTTAAATTATTTAATATTTAGGTATGACAAAGTTTCATCATTTCGATTTATTTTTTGCGAAACTTAATATATATAAAATAAAATTATATAAAAGAATCAAAGATAATTTCCCCCCTTTCTTTTTTCTTTATTTAAATAACAGATACGATTAATTCGGAGAAATAGAACTTGAAAACAATTATAATTCATAAATCAAGATTACTATATAAGTTAGTAATAACAGTGGAAACTCGTGTAAAAACTAATATTAAATAATAATAAATATAGAGATCAATAAATATAAATACAAATTGATAGGATTCTATAATTATTCATGATCAAATAATGATTATGTAAATAGCAGCTTTAATTCTATAGGATTTAGGTATGTAATTATGTACATTCGTATTTATATATATATGTATTCCGGCCACAGAATTGAATTACTACGTATAATGATAAACATGAAGAACCACTCTTGTATTTTAAAGCAATATAGATAAGAAAATAAAAATTACTTGTTATTCGCTTGTTTTACTAATATTTACATAAAATCAAGTGCCAGTGAATTGTTCTGCAAACGATCGTAATTAATATAGTGGCTTATTTTAATTATAATATCATTTTGAGATAACAATTCTAATTTCTGCAGTTAGTGTGAATTAAGAGTATTATGTGAACAGAGTCACACTATTGTATAAAAATAAAACATTGGAGGAAATGTTTAAAATGAATGTATATAATTACGTATGTACATACACAATTAGGCTTACTTAAAGGGTTAATGAGTAAAAGAAAAATGTTATTCTAATGTTTTATTTTAGGACAACACTTGTGGTCGAAGAACTACAATTATTGTTCAGGAAAACGACAATCACCAGTGGCTATATACACACCAGACACGATCGTTAAACCATTTCCGGCTCTCGAACTGATTTTTTATCACAATGCTCTTCCAATGCCGCAATTATTAATAAATGATGGAAAAACTGGTAAATGTTTTTGAGTCGCATATAATTTTACTGTTAAATATTAATATATATATAAGGCTATAGGAGTCAAACTTTTTAAAAGAGAGTACATCTTTTTTTTTAGTTGAACTTACTATAGATAAAAATGCGACAGAAGAAATACATACATTGCCATATATATTCGGAGGCTTGTTGCCTCCGAATCAAAAATTTCAAATGGAACAAATACATTTTCATTGGGGCTTAGAAAATAATAGAGGTTCCGAACATGTACTAAACGGCATAAGGTAACAGTTATCATATTTATTTGTTCGAATCGAAATAAATAATACAAAATATATGTAGATCATAGTAATGAGAGATTAATATTCGTAGATATCCAATGGAAATGCATATTGTACATTACAATACAGCATATGACAATTATTCGCATGCATTACAGTATGAGGATGGTATAGCTGTAATAGCCGTTTTCTTTCAGGTAATCATGCGATCGTGCGCACACACAAATCGTTTTTTAAATCAACTAAATAAGAAGCGCTAATTACGATATGAATAAATTTAATATTTCAGAAATGAGACTGCGCGCCGATTAACTTTGATCTTTCGACATATAACTAATCTGAAATATAATATTTCTCCTAAATTTAATTACATCTTTGTTTTAATGCTACTAGCATCATCTTAAAACTTGTAAAAAATGTACTTATTGCGAAAAGTATATCGGCTAAAATTATTCTTTAAATTTTAAATCATATATAATTTATGCTACCCCTTCAATCCTACAACGATGTATATAAATATTCATATTTTTACACAATTAATATCTAAGTACTTTTGCGAATTACAAATAGAAAATGAAATTAAAGTCTATCAAAAATTTATTTAATTCCAAAGATTTATGAAACCGAGGATAGCTCTATGTTTAAGTGTAATTTATACATGCTTAATTTCAGTTGCAACATGAAGACAATGAGCGCCTTCAACCTCTTATAAGCAAGTTACCTGATGTGAAATGGCCACATACAGAGTTGTCGGTCAATATATCTCTCACTCTGTCATCTCTACTACCATCAAACACCGATGTCTTTTATACATACAAAGGATCTCTCACAACTCCGCCTTGTAACGAAGTAGTCATCTGGAATATTTTTGCTATTCCAGTTCCAATATCTCTCCGTCAGGTGTGTTATTTACGCTTTAATCGCGTTTTATTACGAGTACGCATAAATACATTTAGCATTCCTCTCTTTTTTAAAACAACTTTTTAACAATGATATAATCTTTTTATTAACTATCAAGATAGTTTATTTTCAATAAGGAAATATCGTAAATAATTGACATGTATAAACTCATATATTATTTATTTATTATATTTACGTGTAATTTATTTATCTATTTCATCATAGATAAACGAGTTCCGGTCACTCTCAAACGGCACCGGACCATTGGGCGATAATTATAGAGAATTACAAAATCTTAATCACCGTAAAATATATACTCGACAATTCAACCCACCGTATTGGACAAAAGATATTAAACACGGTTTTACAAATTCAAGTTGGTTTTGGGTGTAATACAATAATCGATAATTTTTGTTTTTATATTTCGACCAACTTGTAAAACTGAAATATTTGTTGCTGCGAAATTCATTTATTCACTTTTCTGTAAATCTATGATTATTCGATTTCAGATAGAGTTCCTTTAAAGTAATACAAAGTATTCTTTAACTATTCTCTTTAACTATCGATATATAGATATATATTCAATATAATTTAAGGTACAGATTTTTATTATTTACATGGCAACTTATTAGATCACATACAAAGTTTTTTACATGCTGATACTCCTACTCGGGTGATTACGAGCCATGCTAATAGAGAAATAGCATTCTCATGCTGACATGGCCAACTCAAAAAATTCTGGATTGGCCATAGCACATCCTCTGAGAGAATAATAACTGGCTCGTGTTTATACATATACGATAACCACAATATTAATGTACCCTGAAAGCAATATAAAGCTTGAAATTGCAAAAAGGATAAGGATTAAGATTCCTGATTCTTCGCTATAATCATACTGGGTGCATTTAGTACGACTCACTAAGCACTCAGTGAGCTCTTGCATACGATTAGCATATTTCATTTAGAAGAAAAGAAACATTAATTTCCCTCCTTGTAATGTATTGTGTGTATATATATATATGTATATATAAAATATGCAAAATATTTTAATTCTTTCTTGTATTATTACTTAATCAATAAAACAGTGATATGCATCATAAACTATTCTTTTATAATAATAATTAGTTCATGTGGTAGTATACAAAAGTAAATTCATCCTAACGTTACAAAAAAAAATTTGTGTGCACGGGCGTGTGATGTATGTGTGTGTGTGTGTGTGTGTGTGTGTGCTTGTAAATCATTAATCTAATATGAATATATGATTGTAGTTAAAAATTGAGAGACTTGTTTATACAAGCGATATACGTACGTTAAGTGCACGAAAACCATAAATTAGCAACATCTGCAGTTTTACTTTCTGATTTAATCGTTGATTCACTATTAAAAAAAAGGAAGATTGTACAAATTCAGATATGTACAAAATTGTGTGACTATAACAGGTAATAATAAAAAACAATCTTATATCAAATATATTGATCTTATTTCTGTCCAAAAAATAATTTCCTCAATCCAACATTAATAAAATAAATGCTCTCTTAGAGTGATATATCTGTCACAAGTTTTCATTAAAAAAAATATAGAGAAAAAACTCACTGTTTTCTTTCAGAATACTTTCAACATGATTGTACCGACGTTGGAGTTTAGCATGTTTAGCAAATTCATCCACCATGGAGAATCCTGCTATATTTTCTTTCAAATTATTTAATTCCTTTCTCAATTCAATGTCATATCTCTTTTCCGCGAGTACGTGTGATAAAATCTGTATTTAATAATAGAATTAAGCTATAAACACAATTCAATATAATTTAAATATTTTTAAATATTATTTATGAATAATTTAAACATAAATATTCGAAAGACTCATAAATAAAATAAAAAGTGATCGCATGTTTACGATTGTCTTTGACAACAAGTTCCAATGAAATTTAAAAAAAAATTTAAATATTAAAAAATACAAGTGTAGATTTTTCTAGAATACTCACAAATCTAATCAGAAACGGTACAATATTATCTAAAATACAAATCAGAGTGGATATCACGAGTAAATCCATGTGTGTGATGCGAAAAACTTATATTCGCAATATTTATCTTAACTTCTTTGCCTCGTTATTTGATGTTCCATTTATTTCTTCTTTTTTACTTAATAGCTCGCGCCTTCACAGATAAGAGATCAATACGGTCAGATCACATTCAAAAATTAATACATAAATATGTGCAAAGAAACCTGGAGAGCGATCATCTCGGTCTTTTCTAACCCCATCTAACCCTCTTCTCCCCCCCCCTTTATACTAGCGGCACCAACGTCCATTTTCGAGCTGCGGAAACTACGTACCACGTTTATTTTTGTGACACGTCGATAAGATGAATGCGTGTGTGCGCCATGCGTGCACAGAACACATGTGCATGACACTTGAAAGATGTAACGTTATACATGAATGGAATTTTTCAAACTGATATTTGAATATTACTTTTTACATTCCATAAATATTTCGGGACATTCCAGAATTTCTTCAAATGTTCTTTTTTAGAATTTTAGAAATAAATTATCGAAAATGATTGTGATTCAAATGTACTGAGCGACAACAGAGCATTTCCCTCCACAGATGTCTATATAGACATCTGTGTTTCCCACTCAATCACTAAAGATATAGATTAACTTAATATATCTATTGAATGTATTAGTCATGGTGGAATTCCATCATGGTAGTAGTGTAAGAAACACGAGAAAAATATCGGGATGCTCCGAGATTCGAGCCGAAATCTGGTCATCTTCATATTGATAGACTTCCGTTCTGCCACCAAGCCTGTAACTGTGTAGCCCTGATGCTAATAATTTCTGTTTTTTTTTAATTTCTTACAGTAGAAAAGAAAGGAAAAAACGCTTTAATGTATATATTCAAAGTAAAAGACTTTATACGAGTCCTCTCCATATACAACTACATTTGAAATTAAGCCTCTCAAGGAGTGAGCCGTTTTGGATCGCGTGGAAACATAGACACTTTACGAATATTGTCCAAGCCGAGATACAGCATCACTACGCGCTCCATGCCTATGCCACCACCGGCATGTGGTGGACAGCCATATCTAAAGGAGTCAATGTACGATTTGATTTGCTCAATATCTGAAACAAATAATTTTGTTATTAATTGTATAATTTGTAATTAAAGCATAAAAAAATACCCACGGAAAATGTGCCACACCATCGCCATAGATAATAAATAACTAAATTTTCTTAATGCACAAAGGTAAACAATAGCAAAAACAAAAAATGTAAATTAATTAAACATGGAAAAGTTTACACAAAATTTCGATTTTAAAACATTTCCCTCACCAATTCCATGATGTTTAGCGCGTTCGGTAAGAAAATCCGGATCATGAATACGTTGTGCGCCAGATATGATTTCCTCACCTCGCATAAACATGTCATATGAATTGGATACTTTCTAAAATGATCGACAGTTATTATATTAAGGAAAGTAAATATGCAATACAAGAAAATATACAATATAAGAATACTTTACAGGGTTATTTGGATCCGGCATGGTATAGAATGGTCTTACAGCAAGAGGATACTTATCCAAAATGTAAAAGTCTGTATCATACTAAAAAAAAAATATTTGTAACATTTGCAATAAGGAGCTTAAGGTACATATAATTGCAAAGTAACTCTAAATCAATCGTTTCATTGAGGAATTAAAAATAAATTTCAATTCTATTTTTTAGGGCCGATTGTACCAATGTTACAAGTACTTTTATACAAGGGAGGATTAAAACACTCACTCACTCACTCAAGCTGAAAGAGACAGAGAAGAAAAAGAATTTTAAGTATCATTTAAAATTGTTGCAATCGGACCTAAAAATCCTAATACTTGTAATTTTGTATCTTTGTCTCTATAATTTTATCTTTGTGTTGTAATTCGTGCTTATCTTGACATTGTCTAGTGTCTTACTTTGTTCTTAACGAGTTTTCCCAGGAGTTTTTCATCCGGTGTCGACAAATCGTCCTCTTCTCCAAGAGTTACACCCGCTTCTGCCAATAATTCAATCGCCTGTGGATACTCTAATTTCAAGGCTGGTTCGAGAAACTTGAAAGGCTCTACTGGATACTGTTGACTAACTGCTGCTATATCATCTGCATAACTATTGAACACACACGAGATAAATTAATATTATAAATTACGCAAAAACTCATAGGTATAAATCGAGTATAAAAAAAAATAAATATATTATACAACTAACTTATCACGTAATTCTTTAAATAGTTCGGTGAACATCTGCCCAATGGTATCCATCACTTCGTGATAATGATACTTGAAGGCCATCTCCAGATCAAGGCCCACAAATTCTGTCAAATGTCTGTGCGTATTGGAATCTTCCGCTCTGAAAACTAATCACAATATTCTCAGCAAGTATTGTTAAAGAAATCGACATGTATATTTAGAACGCGATTTTATTTCGAAATTTTATAGTACAAAAGTAGCGTAAACTATATACTAAATGCATGCTAAGATCATTATAAATATGTTCCGAATACTACCATATTTTGTTATATTTGAAGAATATTTTCTTTTAATTTTTAAGGAAGGAGGAGGGAGAGAATAAGAAAAAAATTCTTTTTCTCTCTACTCTCAACTTTGCTTTTAGTCATTACTAACGTCTTATAATGTATAGAAGAAAACGTTTATTGTATATAATCCAAATGACATTCTATGCATATGACATTGGAATAAAATTTAAAAAGAATACAGGAATTGTTTGGTACTGTTAAGAGTATAAAGTATAGAGGAAAAATAAAAGGTGCTTTCCAATAAATGACACAGATGATACAGGGTGACACAGTGTATCAGTACATCCTTGTTGTTCACCAATGTTGAACAAAAATGATGATCATTGTTTGTACTGTGTCACTTGTTGGAAGACACACAAAGTCGCCTTCCTAAACAATATTCTACATTTTTTTCTATTGGATTTTTCCAGACAACTTTCTCCTCCTTCCTATAATATAATATTCACACTTTTAGAACAAAATTTGTTTGCCATTATGTATTTCGAGTCAAGGCATTAGTCATATCTGCCAATGGCTCAAAAATCTTGCATATTCTAGGTAATGTAAATAGGTAATGTTTAAAAAATAGATAAGTTAAATAAATAGATAATGTTAAAAAAAATATATTTCTATTGGAATATTCTATTGCGATATACCTGCTCCAACAGTGAAAACTTTATCAAAATCTGCGGCAATTGCCATTTGTTTATACAATTGCGGTGATTGAGCTAAGTAAGCATTGCCTTTAAAATAAGACACTGTAAATACATTCGCTCCACCCTCACTGGCTGCAGAAATTATTTTAGGAGTGTGAATCTCAACAAAACCCTAAAAAGAATAAATGAAATAAAAGGATGCATTTAACTGAAAATGTCAGATCACTGTGTGCATTTAGTACGACCTCTCACTGAGCGCTCAGTGAACGGTGGTCGTACTGAATGTCCATTATGCTAACCTTTCTTGTCAGAATATCCCTAAAGAGCTTACAAACACCAGCTTCCACCTTGAAAATTGCTTGATTAGCCGGAGTACGTAGATCCAGAATTCTATTATCCAGTCTTGTATCCTGATTTACTCGCACATTCAATGTCGTCTCGTCCACCTCGCCAATAGGTCTTGCGGCATCTTCTATTTGCAAAGGAAGTTGTGGCTTTGCGGCACTTACCACAAATATTTTTTTCAAATGAACTTCAACATCTTTTTGCGAACACGATTCGATTTTCGAGGGCACAGGCATCACTTTGGCCATGACATCGATTATGGACTCTTTTGTGATGCTAAATGAAATAGAATGTTAATATGTAACTTTATTTTAATTCTGACTGATTTTATGCAGATCTTGAAGATTTTACTTGGATATAAATTTTATCATTTGTTTACTGATTTCTTCATTTACAGCAGCTAATCCTTGAACAGTGTACGATTGTTGTCTTAACACGATAAAGCATTGTTTGCCTATAAGATAAAAGAGAAAGAGACACAAGATTAAAATTTATTTACACAAATAATTATAATATTAGCAATGAAATAACATTATGCACCTTTTGCACGACTAGTGTGTAAACGACCCCTGAGCCAAACCATCTGATTCTCCAGTTTTTTATCCAGATTCTTGATCGTCGTAAATTTTCTATCCTCAAATTTCTCTTTACTCTGAATCATACTCATCTGTCCATACTTTTCCAAAGACACATCTTCAGATTCATTTGTAGATTCTTGCTGAGAATGCTGGTATCAACCGTAAAATTTATTTCATCGATTTTTTAGATTAAATCTATTACATATAAACACTTTGATTTGATTTTATATATAACTTTCAAATTACATTTGTTTAATTGGTAAAAATAAACTTAATTTTTTTCAAATAAACATTTATTATAGAATAACTTACAGATTGAGTTTTTCTTTCTGCCTTTTTTGCTGCTTTTTGTATCTCCTTCTGCTGCTTTTTAAATGCTTTTTTAGACATCTCATCTCTTTATAAAAAAAAAACGTAATTCTTTTGATATTGGAAGTACTGATCATCAGTGGTAAGTAACCGATTGAATGAATTAAATCATAAAATAAAGTATACGTGATATAATTACAGTAAACATGATCAATTAATATTAATTGTTTCAATAAGTATCAGTTGACGTTAAATACAAAAACATTCTACATTTTAATGGATGTATATAATATTTGATTTGAAATTTGTTTCAATTTGTAAATACTTAATAATAAAATTAAAAAAAGATATTTATCAATTATACAAATAAATCAGTTGTATAATAAATTGTTTTTACCAATGTTTGATTTTAATTTTGGTTCAACTAACTCTTCACCTCTTTTTAGTTTTAAAAACTAGAAAAAGATAAAAAGTAAGTTTAACTAATATTTTATTTAATCTAGTTTAATAAAAGTAGACATAAAGCTGATTCTACAATGAGTCTATAGTCAGAAGTCTTAATCTTAATCAGTGAAGTAGTCGTACAAGTTGGCTATTGGTTAACTTTACTGATAAGACTTAGGACTGCTGATTACCAACTCATTGTAGAATAAACATTAGCTAGTAATAATAATTAGGGTTACCGTATGACTGACATGAAAAATAAGGATATTTACAAAATTGATAATTTTTTTTTTATAAAAATAGGGAAATATAAACAATATACATTTTAAGAAGTCACTTTTTGGAGAGACTAATTTTTCATAATGGACATTTCCATCTTTCCCAGAGGACATTTGATCTATTTAAAAAAATTAATCAGGACATGTCCTGTTAAATCATGACCCAATAATAAGATTGAATGCATACCCTATCGGAGGACATTCCACTGGTTCATCTACACCCATCTGCAAAGGATGACACATGAATTACAATGATTACATCATTCTATCGGTATTATAATACTTGCAATAATGCTTGCGCAAACATGTGCATATGTTCAATAATGAAGTTTCTATCTCTCATGTATGAATTTTTATTTAGAAAAATATATATGTACATATTACTAACACATATCATCTAAATACACATTTTTTAATTACATCCTTAATTATATGTTAATAGCAAAAACAGTAGCATACTGAAATAATTTAAGTGTATGTAGTGTAAAAATATAAATATATATATATATATATATATATATATATATATATATAAGATGTTAAAATAATCATTGTTGATTATCATTAATGTGATGTATATATTAATGTAATATAAAATAACGATTATAAAATTATACTATACTATAATAATAATGTACGAGATAAGCGAAAATATGAATAACCTAAATTATTGACAGCCTGACATTCTTACTCTCGACATTCGACTTAATTAAAAATACACTATACAGATATATATTTTTTCGTTTGTTGTTCAGTCACATATGTGGAATAATGTAAATGTTAGTACAAATATTAAGCAAGATAAATTATGAAAAAAGATAATGTACGTACTTTTGACCGTTAAGGCTCGATTTGTAACTTCGGAAAAGTTATTAAATCCCTGGGTGCCTTCCAACAAGCGACACAAGATGACACGGTGTGATACAGGGTGCTTTCCATATGGATTCGAGGAGATGCTATTAGCGCTATTTGTGTCATTATCTTTATCGTTAATTATCCCGGATCTACAATAGATTTTTATGCCATAAAGAAATGGACGAATTACTCCGGATCCCGGATCTACAATAAAGTTTTAAGTTTTGAGCCATAAGAAATGGCTCAATGACGAATCATAGTCGATTATTCTCTTCGAATTCGACTGTAATTAGTTAATTTCTTACAGCTTAAGTCCAGATCTACAATAAATTTTTAAGCCCTATGCCATAAGAAATGGACGAATTACAGTCGATTATTTTCGTCGTATTCGACTGTAACTGGCCAATTTCTTACGGCTTAAGGCTTAAATCATCTATTGTAAATCCGGACTAACAACTGTTTTATGATTCTTCGCTAAGATAGGACTATTCCTTTAGATTTAAAAGTATAATCCAATCAGCGAGACAAATCATGAGCTTAGTTGCAAGTTGCAGTCCCACAACCATTATTTTATCCTTGTTGTTTACTGATTGTTGAACAAGGATAAAGATACTTGTGGATTGGAGCTGACAGAAACAGAAGTCAAGAGATTTGTTCTTCTTTCGCTGCACCAGTACAGAAAGTGCATCGAAAAAGAACAAACTTAATTTGTAGAACACACCCATGCATGAGGATCGGACGAATTTGTCGGCCATGTTATTATTTTAAATTCGCCGAGTTTTGCGTATCAGCCGACGTGATTCAGCAGTTTGATTATTTAATTCTCGTGTAAATCGTGAGTTATTGTGCAGTTCATCGTCAACGTTGGTCGACGTTGTCAATAATTCATTCGGGCAAGCTTAAATAGATTGGAATACATTCGTGACATAATGTCGATTAAGTTTATTAGGGCAGTCTGTGTCCTTCAGGGAGAGCAGCCCATTAAAGGGACCATACATTTTGAACAAAAGGTAAATTCTCTTCTAATCTCCCTTCATCTCTTCACCGCGTGGTAATTTCGTGGAAAGTTTTAGCTGAATCCTACTATATTTTTTTCATAAGATATCTAATTAAATCGCAAACTTAAAAGATAAAATTTTGTTATCTAGTGATACGCTAGTATTTTTTTTGTTCATCCTAATACATCCTACATTTTACAATTGTGAATACCTGAATAATTCTGCGATAATTTTTATTAATAGTTCTCTAATTTATCGGAACAATTTCTTCGAGATAAATAATTTCATTTTGTGACAATTAATGAACGTATTTTGATTTACTGCGAAAATTTTATTAACATTTTTCATTCTTAGTATACTAAAAGTTTGATTTGCATTATAGGAAAATTCAAATACGGTCAGGGTGTGTGGACAGATTACTGGTTTGCAGCCAGGGCAACATGGTTTTCATGTTCATGAATTTGGCGATAACACCAATGGTACATTTGAATGAGATTTGATAAGAATACTCAGATGTTATTTATATGGCATATCTGAGACATTACGTTTAAAATTAATTTGAAATATAATTTATAAATCTTTAAATTTGTAATTTTTCTTAATTTTGCAACATATTTGCTAGTTAGTCATTTGAAACTGGCCAAATTTTTGTATTATTTATGTGGCATGACACACAGACACATACATTATGTAATTTAAAATATTGTAAAATTTGTTTGTCTTTGAGTTTGTAATTTTTTTTTTAACACAAATTTGTTATTTAAAATTGTGATAAAATTTCCCAGAGTTTATAAAAAGTTTTAAATCATTTTTATCGAACTTGTCTTATTTGTGACTTCTGTAAAGTTGATAACAAGCTAATTAAAAAAGAATATATGTGATATGGATATCTATTTGTTTGCCACGAATAAGGCTCAGAGTGAACAGTGGACATATGTATATGATGTCTTAGTATTTGTTCATATTTTTTTAGTTATAAGTTTTTATCTTTTAAACAACCATAGAGAGATGTTTAGATAAATGATATCAGAAGTGAGAAAATATTATATATACTAAAAATTCTTGCAAAAAAATGTATATAAAAATAAAAATATTTTTCAATAAAACACAATGTTTGCATTTGTTAGAGTATACTCGCAAAATAAACTAAAAACTGTTTTTATAATTCGAAATAGAATAAAGTTATATTTATATCAATTTGACAGCTGTCATGTAGCTTGTTTCATCTGGATAGGCATAATTTAATTTCAATAATATATAATTATTTATTGTAATTATTGTAATGCAAAGGGAAATTTTGATACATTCTGTTTTAACAATTTATACATATTAAAATGCTCTTGTCTTTCTTTGAATAGAAAAAATTTTAATTTCTTGTGTGAATGAGTGTATAAGTGAAGGACACTAAAAGGAACATAGTGTAAATTAAAACTATTTTTTTATATTTTTAAGGAGAAACATATTAAGTAATGTTTTTATCTTTTTTGTTTTTACAGGTTGCACAAGTGCGGGCGCTCATTTCAATCCACTAAAAAAAGAACATGGTGGTCCAAACGACAGTATGCGCCATGTTGGAGATTTAGGAAATGTGGAAGCTGATACTGATGGTGTAGCAAAAGTTAATATCACCGACTCTATGATTCAGCTTAGTGGAGCACACAGTGTTATTGGACGAACTCTTGTGGTATATATTAGATTTATAATTTTATAAGTCTTGTTTAACTTATATTTTATCAGATTTTAATCCACGAATTATTTTAATGAGCTTCTTACTCTTTAACGTTATTAATGGCTTTAAATATAACTTGTTCATTTTTTAAAATTTGTTACAACAGATGTACATATTTAGTGTATTTTAAATATAGGTATATTTTTTAGTACACGTATATTATAGCTAAGTACATTAGTGTGTTAAAAGTAAATGTTAATTTTATCAGAGATATCTGTGGATATGTGGAGTTAGCATCTCAACTATAGTACTCTAAAGTTCTGATTAGTTCCCACTTCCTTTTGACGACACGAAGAGTTCCCTATAGTTTATAACAAGAGTTCCGCTTAATAACCATTTAACAGTTTTAAAAAAATGGGGTGCTAACTTCTTATTAAAAATCAAATAGTTCTGAATGGTTTAATAGCTTCATTTTGTGAATACCTAGAGTTCTTAATGCATAAAAAAATTTTTTTTTAAATAATTAAAGAATTACTTACTTATTTTAGTTTTCTTTTTGTATCTATTTGTTATGTGTTCAAAGTTTACTCTTCCTCATATTTTAGATTCATGCTGATCCAGACGATTTGGGCAAAGGTGGTCATGAGTTGTCAAAAACAACTGGCAATGCTGGTGCTCGTCTTGCTTGCGGTGTTATTGGTATCGTAAATTAAACACATACACATGATGAGTGCGAGAGCTTCAAAGATAAAGTATATATTATCAGATATATATTAAAAATTAGAGATATATACTATTTTCTTACTACTTGGTTTCCAGCATATATATTATATCATGCACAAGTGTTATTTTTTTGTTGTCTGTAATATAATATGATAAAAGTTTTGTTCTTCTTAGAAATTAACGTTAATGGTAATAATAACATTAATAAATTGTCAAAATATGAATTTATGTATGTTGCCTATGGAACTAAATAAGTAAAAAAAAATATATACAGATTTAGAACATTCTTTCGCATGAATATTTATAAATATCATACACTCTTATTCCTGAAAATTTATACCGAAGTTTAAACAACTTAGTTGGTCGCTATTATACGATATAACCACTGTATATTTAAATGGCAAGTGTATCCGGATGCCTATAGGTACTCCACTTTCCGAATTGGTTCCAATTATAAATCTTATCTAGTCTTATCATGACATCGATGATAATACTTTGTCAATCGATGACTTATCTAAAAATTGTACCGTTCAACATATTAATTTCGGCGGTTGTCGCGATCGTAAGTTGTCACGAAATTTGCAAGTATGTTACCAATAAACCGAGAAAACGAACCAAGGATTAGTATCTTTGATTATTATTATGACTGCAGCAGCTCTGAATGCGAGGAAACTGAAGACGAGAGGTATAGCTTCCCGTATCGTTTGAAACATTTCTAAAAATATATGACACAGAATTAATTATAATGAATCCAGATTCCAGAATGAATTTTGAATAAATAAACATGAGAGAGAGAGAGAGAGAGAGAGTGCGCTCAGCAAAAAAATTACAATACTCTGTGATTCATATAAAAAAATTAAAATTTTTATTTACCTTACAAATTATTTTGCGAGTTTTTATTTTTTATTTTTTAATACGTTTTAAACGCATTAGTTTTATTTTTACATTTTTCTAAAGTTATATTTTAAGAGAAAGGCAGTGTGTGTATGTGTGCGTGCATGCATGCACACATAGCATTTTCTTTGAAATTATTTATTAGATTAGATATTAATTTTATGAGCTATATATAAAAGAGTGAATTAAAGATTTGTGAAACGATAAATGAATGTTATCTTGGTTTTTTTTCACTTTTGCAACATAAACAAATGTATGTCAAGGAAAAGAGGAAGGAATAGACTATAAAACGATGTAAAAAGGAAAGTAAAAAGTATTGGAAGGTCTAAAATGAAATAAGGAAACAAATGTAAAAGATGAGATAATAGTAAAGAAATACTGCTGAAAATACTGTGTTAAAATCTCGTGCTTTCCAGTTTGCAGGACGTTCCATTATGGGACGTGTTTGAATGTTATCCTTCACCAGAAAGTGGATCTATGCAAAACAACAGAGTTTTCGAAATCATCGTTTCGATTCTAAAGATATTCATTTATGGATCGTTATTTACTATCGTTTTATGCAGTGGTATCATATCTAAAGTATTTGTTCTATTGGCCACTGCGCAACTACGAAAAAATCAATCATTGCCCGATTGTAATGAAGGTAAAATTTTAATTTAGAGAGAGCGTGTAAATTGAAAATTATATAACAAGACAAATGAAAAAATCACAAATATTTGCATTCCTATTCTACCCAAAAGTATATAATTTTTTAAATTTGGACTTGTAAAGGTTATGAAATTTTTTTAATGGTTGGTGATGTGATTGCACACACATACGAGGTGCGTTTGGAGAGACGCTGTTAATGCTATTTGTATCATTCTATCCTTGTTTTCTAATAAACGAATAAAAATATAGAATGGCACAAATAATAGCGCAACTCCACATCAAGTAGCGACTTCCCGAACGCACCGACGAAATGTTATAATACAAGATTTCAAGCGATTGTTTTAAAGTTTTATTAAAATATTAAATCTCACAATCAAATTAAAAAGTTAAATTACATAAAAATAATTCTGAAGAGAAATATATGAGAATTGATATTTGTGTAAATGAAAGAATTGAATAGTAACAGATGATAGTAAATAGTGAAAAGAATCCTGCGCTGAAGAATCAAGTTGAAATTAATAGAAAAGATGATTGACAAAAATTTGTAATATAATATCGAGGCATACCATTTTGAAGATTATCTTATCGTTTATTTATCACATTATCATATTAGTAATCATGTTACTAAAATCAAAAATCATGTTTTGCCATTAATTACGTTACATGTACTCGTACTTTATGAGAAGAAAAAAAAGAAGTAAGGTCTTTCTTTTATCAAATATATTTATTTTTCATTCTCTAAAACTTTTGGATATTCCTTAGAATCAGAAGAGCTTTTTACCAAATATACACAAGATAGCCATATAAAATGGACGTGGTGTTTGATTTTCATATATCTTATACCGGAATGCATCGGGGTGTTAAACACCTTATGGCACCATCTATTCAAAAGAAAACTAAGGATGCCAAAGAAATGGAATCTTTTACTCATGATCTTGATAGAAACGCTTCACACGCTGGGTTTAATGTTGTTAACTTTCCTCGTGCTACCGGAAATCGGTGCAGTACAAGGTGCCGCGATTTTCTGTTGCCTATGTTTCGTACCAGGATTGCTGAGTAAGTACATATAATTCATGCACCGTGTTCTAAAAATTATAAGGTCTTTAATTAACACAAGCTTCAATAACAATCGTTTTTCGTCATTTTTCAATTTTGAAACATTTTGCTTTAACTTTTACCGTTACTACGCTGGTCATTGATACTCTATTATAAAAACTATAAAGAAATTTTCATTTCTATCATGATTCTAAAAAAGTTTTATTTGACATATGAACACATTAAATACAAAAATTATTAATACTTAATAGATCTACTTTCGCGAAATAAAGAGAGTTGCAATACATCAATTAAATTAAGATTACTAAAAATTTTTGATGTACTGGCATTAATTGCCCAAATTAGCGGAATGTTGTGGCCTTTGATTCTTACTATTAAGCACAATGTCGACGAGACGTTAATGTGGGTTACTCCTGTTGCTCTTGCGTTGTGCTCAAGTCGTTGGTGGAGTAACTTTGTATCGTCTCACAGCAACGTTGGTACGTACCGATCACACATCCATATACGTATATATTATATAATTCCATGTGTTGCCTTACGTAAAAAAAAAAGAAAAAAGAAGGGGGAGGGAGAGAGAGTTCTATCTTATATAATCTCGATAAATGTATTCTAAAATAGTTAAATTTATGATGAGTGTTTTTACTGAAAACTAATTTGATCCGCATTACCATAAACTAATCGAAATTATTATACAACACAATTAGGTTGAATATAAAATACCGCGATACAGTAATATCGAAATATCGAAAAAACAAATTATTTTTCAATCAAAATAGGTTTGATGCAATTCTTATCCCGTGCAAAAGAAGATCTTCAACCAGGTCAACATATCGTACAAGGATATGTCTCAATTTGGAGGATATTCATTTTTATCACAGGTGCTTTCGTCGTTATTAACATACGCGAAGGAATAGATGCTAAAAGTTTCTTCTCACCGCAATTCACTGTCCCTACACCTCTTTATGTCTTTGCAATTCAAGCTGTTTGCACCATGACGATGTATCAAGCTTGTAAGTTAAAACAGTCGAACACACATATATATATAATATATCATATATACTTACACATTATAAATGTTACATTAAAGTTCATCTTATAAAAATAAGAAAAGCTCTGCAAATCCAAAGATAATTAATTGTAAGCGATATTTAAAAGATATTTTTGAATAATATTGAAATGACGCAGTCTATTATATGTTTTTGTTCGTTTTACCAGTTTTTTTTTGTAATGTTTTCTAAACATTTGCATCATGAGAGAAGATTCAAAACTTAAAATTTTGCTGACTAATTACTCTATTTTGGCTTATCAGGAATACTTAATTTGAATATTTTAACTCTTGATGTGTGCATTTTTTTCATGTAAATTCAAGACAAGAGCGCTTTTGATTTCGAATTTCATTCTGTTAACATTTTCAGGCAAATTTGCTTACAGAACCCATATGCACCAATTTGGTTTCGCATTTCCAACAAATCTAGTTAGTCTAGGAGCAGTATTATTGATCGTGACATTGTGCATTGCTCGAAAAAAAGACATCTGTGCTTTTCGTGACGTTACCCCGGACTATCTTTTCTTTGAGGATTCCCTCTTTGGAAATTGGAATGAATTTCTTTCTAGTTGGTACATTTGGTTCTGGCTTATATGGCTCATGTCACAGATATGGATCACGATGCACTTGTGGACCACTGAAAACGAAAGACTAGCATTAGCGGAAAGGATTTTTTCTACAATCACCTATGATTCGCTCATGATTGATCAGTGTTTAGCTTTAAATAGAAGGATGCAGAATGAAAATATCGAACAAGAAGGGGAAACTAAAGATGCTCAACTTCCAGTAAAGAGTTAAACACTTATCTTGTTGATTTATTATCATAATTATATTTATTATTATGATTAATTTCAGAATAGCGACTTGAAACTCGAAGTTATCGATATTAGCTTAGATGCTGAAAGGATCGAACAAGATTTTAATCAAGATGATTCGATTGGTGCTGATACAGCAGTGAATAAGTGTCAAGATCGAGTTACGAGAATTTACGCGTGTGCTACAATGTGGCACGAAGAAAAAAGCGAGATGAATCATTTAGTGGGTAGTATTTTACGATTAGATAAAGATCAATGTGCAATAAGTGCGACGCAAAAATATTACAAAGTTCAAATCGAGGACTATTATGAATTGGAAAGTAAGTCATCATACACAGACAAGTAAAAGATTAGAGAATGAAAACTATATATAATTAATAAATTAAAAATCATAAATTTTTCTTTTCATCGAAACATACACGAGTAATTGACAAAATTTACTTTTTAAAAAATTATAATGGATATAGTACATACATATACTTTAAATCGACATTAAAATTTAATTATTTTGATGTGTAATTTAGTTTTCTCTATTTGAAAATTTCTCTATCTAAGTCCCTAACATCTTTTAAATATTGGTCTTGTTTAGTTATAGATATTTATGCATATATGTATAAATATGTATAGATAATCCCATTAGGAAATTAAAAACTGAATTTATATATTTTCGAAAAATTTAATGAATATAAACAAGCCAAAAAAATTATGAAATACGTTTGTTGAATAAAAATTTATTGTACGCTTCTGATATAGCACACATTTTCTTCGACGATGCATTTTGTTGTATGCATGGCTGCGTTGGTTCGTGCAATCACGATGAAAATGAGACACAAGTCAATCAATATGTAATTACGCTGGTGGAGACAGTTCAAAGAAATGTGGAGAACTTATGCATGCGTTTTTCACCGCCTACTAAATATCCAACGCCTTATGGAGGTTGTCTTGTGTGGACGTTACCAGGAAAAACTAACTTGATAGTTCATCTGAAGGATAAAAACAAGATTAGACACAGAAAACGGTGGAGTCAAGTATGAGAAATAATCATTTATATATTAAGTTTTTTTCTAAAAAAAAAATAAATAAAATGTGTACGCATATAAATATACAAATATAATATATATAATATTTGAAAATTAATAAATATATAAATGCATTGTAAACATGTCGTATTAAATACGAAATTATTAGAGAGAAATTTATATTTATAAACTTTTTTTGTGGATGGAAAAAACCCTGAGAAATACTTTAATTTTTTAAGGTCATGTATATGTATTATCTTCTCGGCTATCGTCTAATGGGACTATCAATCGATACAGATCGAAAAGAGACTATTGCGGAGAATACGTACATTCTTACATTGGATGGAGATATTGACTTTCGACCGGCCGCTGTTAAAGTTCTAGTGGATTTAATGAAAAAAGATAAAGATCTTGGTGCCGCGTGTGGTCGAATACATCCAGTCGGATCAGGTACAGTATGCGGGTTGTATAACAAATTTGTTAAGTATTTATTCTAAATATAGAGAGAATGTGTATGATGTTATAGTTATTGTGAATCGTGATTGGAATCTGAAAAATAAAGGTATTAATTTTTTATAACACACACAATTGACAGACAAAGAAATAGACGGAGAAAAGTTTTATTTGTACATTATAATTAAACAAACAGTTTGAAATTTTTAATTTTCTAATATACAGAATTCTTGTACAGAGAAAAGAGATTACTTTATTTTAGACTTTTAAGCGTTTTACTATTCGTTAGTATAGGTCCAATGGTTTGGTTCCAAAAATTCGAGTATGCTATTGGTCATTGGTTGCAAAAATCTACAGAACATACGATCGGTTGTGTTCTATGCAGTCCTGGATGTTTTTCACTCTTTCGAACGAAAGCATTAAAGCAGCCCAACGTGATGGCAAAATATGCTACCAAGTCTACCGAAGCCAGGCATTATATTCAGTATGACCAAGGTGAGGATCGATGGCTATGTACGTTGCTTCTCCAAGTGGGTTCCCGGGTAAGAGTTATCATTTTAAGCCGTTTATAGATTACCATGATATATCCGGAATATATTATACTTATAGCAATTTGCTATATAGTATATCAAAAGTACAGAAATCCCTTTCATAAATTTAAATTGTGACCTAAAGCCACAATTATGTTTTTCAAAAAATCTCACATTTCTCAATAAAAAAATATATAACATTAGCATATCTAGTTTAACATTAAGTAAAAGTGAAATTCAATGTGTGTGTATTAGGTGTATGTATAACATACTTAGCACAAAACGTTTAATTTTTGGAAGAATTGTATTGAATCAGAGTAACTCGACAGTTTATAGTAGTTTGGTAGATAATCACTGTCGTATTTAGAATTTACGCTATAATATCTATTTATTTTATTATATATTCCGTAGAATCTTTTTTTGAACAAATGTGAAATAACAAAATTGAATTGGATACTATATTTAAAAGAAGCATTCGCATGAAAGATTAAAACACAGTAAATAATCTTAAGCATTTATTAATATTCTTTGGAACTTTTGTTTGAATTTTTTTTAACATTTGTATTATTTTATAATTTAAACAGATTAGAATTGTGGTTTTATAATCATACTTTTTTCAATTTTTAGTCATTTTCTGTATTTTTACTATCATTATTATATATATTATTATATGTATTATAACACATATTATTTTAGTATATATACATCATTATTATATGTATTATAAAAATATTTAACTGAATTTAACAGAACTACATATGTGTAATCCGCGGTATAAAAACGTTATAGCGTATATAGTTGTAGAATTAATTCTCGTTTTTATAAGGTCGAATATTCGGCAGCAAGCGATGCTTATACACACGCACCAGAACACTTTAAAGATTTTTACATACAACGACGAAGATGGATTCCCTCCACTGTCGCAAATATTTTCGATTTGTTGATGACTGCTAAGGAGACGAGAAAGATGAATAACGATATCTCATGGCTATATATTGCTTACCAGTGGATTCTAATGGGTATGTATCTAATAATATAATAGTTTAATAATCTATTAAATTATGAAGTATTATTGTAGGGAGTACAATCCTAGGACCAGGTACAATATTTTTGATGCTGGTTGGCGCGTTTGTCGCCGCGTTTCATATCGACAATTGGACCAGTTTCTGGTACAATCTAATTCCAATTGGTGTGTTTGTCGGAGTTTGTTTTATTTGCAAGGAACGCATGCAGGTATAGAACTCGAATAGTATCTTTAAGAAAGCGATAGAAATTTCGAGGAATTTGGAGAGAGAGAGAGAGAGGAGGGAAGAATTAATTTTATTTTATATGGTTGGTAAATGTGGATTATAAAATATAAAATGAAATTATAAGTAGTTTCACAAAATATTCTTAATTTGTAATACGAATACGAAGCCTATAACAGTCTAGCTTGGATCTTAGTCTCTTATATATAATTTCGTTTATTAGAGTTGCGTTTTAAGAACGACAATTTTGTTCAGCGCGCAGTTTAGAGAGACTACATATTAGTATATAAATTCATGCGAAATTATATATAAGGAACTAAGATTCAAGCTAGACTGTATACTTCGTATTATTCGTATTAGTTATATTCTTACATTGACGGTCTTTAGATTTGAATTTTCTTAATTTGCTTATCTTTTCCATGAATGGATATGAGATCGCTTGCTGTATTAGGGCGAGAAAATGCAGCTGAAATTATTATTACATAAATTTACAAAATGAGTATATGTAGAAAGAGTTCTTTCTACAACTCTATACTATAAACTAATAGATGATTATATTGAACTAAGCAACATTATCACACACATACATTTATTTATAATATTTCACTGGTGTCGATTTACAGTTATTAGTAGCCGAGATTATCAGCGCTATATATGGTCTAGTGATGATAGTCGTTCTGGTAGGAATTATGTTACAAATCGCCGAAGATGGATGGCTCGCGCCCAGCAGTCTTCTCTTCTTCATTGTCGCGTGCCAAATGACAATAGCTGGTCTGTTACATCCTCAAGAAGCAACTTGTTTATTGTGTGGTGTTATTTATTACATTACTGTACCATCCATGTACATGTTGTTAATTATCTTCTCTGTTTTCAACGTACATAATGTTACATGGGGCACGCGTGATTCGAAAAAACTGAATGTCGTAAGTGTGCTGTCTGTTAATTTTAATTTAATTCATTATAGAAACTGTACATTAATAGAAAACTTATTATATTAATGGATAACAGATTATTTCTTTAACATATTTTTATCTTTCTCTGTACGCGCGCGCGTATATTTGTGCGTGTACAGAGAAACTTTTGAAAATGATCATATTATAATTATAACGATAAAAGATTCCTCAAGATGAGCAGAGATCTGCAGAAATCAGTACTATATCCAGATTTATGATACGACAAAGGAATAAGCAAGACAAAAATGATAAAGGTACATTAGAATTTTCCTTGGGAAATTTATTCAAATGTGTCTGCTGTGTTCATTCAGGAATTAGTTATGAAGAAAAGCGATTAAATGAAATTAACGAGTCTATACAACAGATAAACAAACGTCTGAACTTACTGGACAGGTTTGATAGACTTATTATTTACAATTATTATGAAATTCACTCATCGAGAATCATTATTACACATTCAATATTTATCAATATTTTCTTTCATTGTAACATTTGCTTTTGTTTATTAATTTATCACGGCAGATTTAAGATATACACATAATTATTTATCTTTTTTATTCCTAAAATTTATATTCTGCAATACAGATACATAATAATTATTAATGATTACAGATTACATACAGTAAACACAGAAGCAGATGTTACACAATCTTCTAATGTTAATATATTTTCAAGACCATATTTTCCAATGGATGAGACACGAAAAGAGGAAATACATGAAGGAATCGAGTTACAACATATGACTGATAAAAGTGATCAAGGAAATGTACTCTATAAGGACGTCGACGATGACGAAAGTGACATTCTGACGCAAGAGTCAGCAACTTCGAGTCAGGATCGATCTAGTTTTCTCATTAGCCCTTACTGGCTTCAAGACGAAAGACTGCGAAGAGGTGTGGTGGATTTTTTGTCAAATGATGAAGAGGAATTTTGGAAAGATCTGATTGGAAAATATTTGCAACCTATTGAAAGTGATGAAGAGAGTCAAGTGAGTTAGGTTTATCTTTATCCTACTCGTACAAAAAATTAAGAAAAGTAATTAAACTAAAATTTATTGTTATGTACTTCTAATGTATATGTGCATAACCATATTTTTAATATGTACACACGCACACACACACACACACACACACACACACACACACACACACACACACACACACACACACACACACACACACACACACACACACACACACACACACACACACACACTTTTTTATTTTATGATGTTGAACATTGAAGAATAACTATATATCCAATTCCTCCATACATATATATATGTTCTAAAATAATAGTGAGATGATAATTTTATTGTTATCAAGATATTTAAATATTTTTTTTACTCTGCTCTCTTCTCAATTTTTATATTCTTTTTAGAACAAAATAACTCAAGAACTGATTAACAGTCGTGATGCGTATTTATCAAAATTCTTCATGCTGAATGCTTTGTTTGTACTAATTGTGTTCCTTATGCAGTTAAACAAAGATAGACTGCATTTGCAATGGCCACTTGGAATGAAGTATAATATTACATATTATTCAGAAAAAAATGAGGTAAACATATAATAAAATATAATAATATTAATAATCTTATTAAATATTTCGTTAGCAAAATATTTCACATATTATTATACAATTATTATATTTAATAATGGTACAATTCAAACAATTCAACTTGCTTATTAAAGTGTTGCTTAAATTTAATGATTTGCTAATTAAATTATTATATAACCATTAAAACTGCACCCTTATATAAATAATTAAAATTACATAATTAATTATTTGAATTAAAGTTACATCAATTTTGTATAGGTACATTTAACAAAAGAATATTTAAGACTTGAACCAATAGGATGCCTATTTATCGTCGCATTTGTCAGTATATTAGGTATCCAGTTCTGCGCCATGTTATTTCATCGATTCGATACGTTTTCTCATGTACTTGCTAATACGAAACTTCCTTTTTGTACTAAGGTAATATTAAAAAAGAAAAAATTCATGAAATACTCTCTCTCTTTTTTTACTATATTTCCTTCATAAAAAATGTAGTAGTGAAAGATAAATTACAACTTTCTGATTTTCTCTCGTTAAGTTTATTAAAAATTTTTTTAAATACACAAATACAAGTTTATATTTTAAGGAGGATGAGATCAAGAAATTCTTAATTGAATTTTTTTTTACAATTCTCATATGGTTTCTTTTTATCACGTTTCTTCTTATTATCAGACGACTTCTTCAAAAGACAGTGTTTTCGAAAAACACGCTGATAAAATAGCACAGATACTTCAACGTATGGCAGAGGACGACGTGATATTTGAACTCAGACGAAGTACCGTAACTTCTGTTTACAAGCGAGATGTGCACGAATTACCGGGAAATTCGAAGAGATCATCAAAGAGATCATTGAAGATATTGGGAAACTTTGAAAAGTTGTTTCGACGAAAGCTTCGTGATCCAAATTCAGGTATAACTGCTCTTAACTGTTGTTTTTTGAAACTTTTGTGCTTCATGTATCAGTGTTTACGTGTTTAAATATTAAAAATAAAATGAAATTGGGACAGTACACAAGAAAAGAAATAAGAAGAATAAAGGAAAAATGTGGAGTTAAAAATACGAAAATTCGACTATATATTAAATCGAGTTTTTATAAAGCAATAATGTTGCATAATATTAAATTCCCAATTAGCATACCATATTTAATAAACATTTTTTAAATGTTTATTCAATGTTTTTACAACTATTTTACATTAAATAAATATTTAAAAAATATTTTTTAAATATGGTATGCTGATTGATGGGTTATTGTTAATTAAATTATTGTTTTCTGCTTATGTTTTCGAAAAGGATGGTGTAGCAGAAATGTAATTGTCTTTAAAGTTAAAATAAATGTGATGAAATAACTGAAGATAGCTATAATAGATAAAAGCGATGATAAATTTTCAAAAAAATAAAGTTGAAAAATGTATACATAATGAGGCTGCGTTTCACATTTAAAACTAAAAATCTAATTTACATTATGTACATTATAGATTTGCAACATTGACAGTGAATCTTGGAGTATAATCTGAATGTTATAGCAAAATATGTTGTTTAGTTTTTGTTATATATTATAAATATTTAATAACTTTATTGCTTTCCATTTCGATAAGGGTAATAAAAAATTATAAAATTTATTATTTCAGTTAAATAATTGACGTTGGTTTTATTACTAACAATAAGTATTTAAATTAGTTTAAAATTTTTTTTATTATTCTATATATGTATTAACTCTGCAATTATACATTTGTACATTACATCTTAAATACAAAGGTGATACATTTGGACAGTGCATGTATGACGTATAATACGTACATGAAAATTAACTAAATAAAAGTACTCATATAATTACGAATTATTCATTAATTATTCCAAGCGATAGTGACTTGCTGTTAATCGGAACATACTATTTCGATCAAAATCAATGAAAAGTAACGCAACTAATATTTAATGCAATTCATATAAGAATAGTTTTCGGATATATTTATGGAATCATTTGCGACATTACGGGAATTACATTAATTATTTTTCGATCGACAGTATATAGTGGCATTTTATATTTGAAATCATTTAGAATTTTAGCACAAAATCAACGATATTATACACATTATACACTCTTATAGATCAGATGCGATGGCATCAATCATCACATTTGCTATACTTTTACGTATGTTTTTTTTTTTTCACATTTTTCGAGTATTGTCTATTTTACAGGTTTATCACAACGTATGTCCTCACAAATGCCGAAAAGTGCATTTAATGCCTTCGAGCGGAGGCGATCAACAATTTTAGCGGAAAAAAGAAGGACACAGACTCGGAAATCGTATGAAATTTATGATAATGCTGATAATTTGAGATCTTCGAACGATCAGACATTTCCGGAACAACCAGGACAATCGAGTTCCCATCAATTTCAGTATGATAATCCAGGATTTAAGCGGGATGAGAATATATGAAATATATGAAACAATTAATTTATTTTGAAATATAATGTAAAACGGAAGTTTATACAACTTAAATTTCTCGCTTCTGATATTTTAATCCAATAGAGATGCACATTAATGTAGTAAATAACCAATATCGCGCCTTAAATTTACATTAGTACATCTGTAAATTAAATAAAAGTAAGCAATAATTTGATAAAATCGTTACAGCAAAATAGATTACTCCTTTTTCGCACATTTTAAAAATTAAATTCAATGCATTCTTTTTTTTTATATATGGCGGTTTTCCTCATAATCGTCCTTATAATTCAGAATATTGCGTTTTGTATTTTCTCTTGCATATTGATGAAGAGAATTGTCAAACAATAATTGGAAAAATTTAATATAAATCAAAGATTAATAAATTTCGCTCGTTTTTTTGCAATGCAAATTTTTTTTACTTATTTAATAAATCAAAGAATTTCATAATAAGTATAAGTATTTAATGATTTTTAATGAAGTCCTTCTTTTTCTTCTACGGCGCGACAGACTTAAAGAGGTCCTTGATCTCACAGAAGAAATCGTCTCCAGGTCTCACAATTCTCAGATTTAATCCTCCAATTTTTGATGAAGTTAGTGCTTTTTTTTATGTCCGCGAGATCCTAATGATTTTCCGCTTTTAAGATTTGGAGGAATAACGATACGACCAGTAGCGATCTCATCTCGATCGACGGATTCGTCAATTTGTTTTTGAGCCTCAAGAAAAAACATGAGATCCCGATTCTGCTCTCTTAAATCAGTGATCTCTGCTTCTTTCGCGAACAGTTCATCTTGTAATGTTTTATATTTTGCCTGCCACGAAGTCTGATTCAATTGTAAAGCCTTTCGCAGATCTTTTTCTTCTGTTAATTCCGCTTGTATTTGTGCTAATTTATTGGTGGAATGTTGTAGACGCTTGTCCAGCGTCTGCTTGTCGCGATTGAACGTCGTGAATTGTTTCTAATAAAATAAAGAACATCTCCCTTATAATACAATGAAAAATAGTAGAAGAAATGAGAGAAAAAAAGAAAGGGAAAGAAAGAAAGAGAAATAAGGATAAGATAAAGGAAAAAGGGAGGGGGAGGGAAAGACGACGTAATACACATTTTCTATTATTTTTTAGTATAACATATTGAATTATGTACCTTGAGTTGTGAATTTTCCTCGAGCACTTGTTCCAGTTTATCTCTCAACTCAGTAAGCTCTGCTATGGAGCGTTGTTCTGAACGATTGAGTCTCTCTTCATAGTATTGTCGTTGCGTTTCCAACTGTGACGTTAACAAATACGTGAACTCCAACTGTACTGAGTCTACCTTATCCTCTACAGCGGCACCCTCATTCTTGGTTGTTGAGCAGCCACCTTCTACCATTTTACCATCTTTGTCCTGTAATAATCGATGTACAAAATTGTCGCCTACGTAATCCCAGACGCGATTGTTGCCTAATTGCATCGCGTAGCAATGGTGTGTGTCCCGGTAGTGTTCAAACGCATGACCCTGGTGATAACGCGAGCAGCCTATGTGACCACAGATCAAGCAAATCCATAAAGCGTCATTGCTGGCATCTGCAACTAAAGAGATCCACGCAAAGCATATTACAAGAGGCCTCTAATATAACAGAAGGTTCCAACAATTTTCAATTGTTGACATGTTGGGAACCATGTCCTTTCTGGAGGAACGCGAAATGTGCCAGTTATTGTACAATGTGTGAAATTTAATTAAACAATTTAAAGTAATTTTTTAAAATTTCGTTTCAAGAATGTGGTATACCTTATTATCATTAAATTAGATTTAAGTTTAAACAACTCAAAGCAATTAGATAAATATTTACCACATTCCATGCACCGACTATCTGCCAGTGGCTCTGGTGTTTGGGCGTATCGACAGATTGGACAGGATGTGTCACCCCATTTAACAAGACAGCTGGAGTGGAAAGTATGATTGCACAATATTGTCAGGATTCCATCCACACTTTCATCCATTCTTTCAAGACAAACGGGACACGAAGGTAATTCTGTGTGTCCACTCAGAGGCATTCCATTGTCCCCTATTTCGACTCGGGATACAAATACCATATGACAAACTACATCTGGTTCTAGAGAGTTGTAAGGAGCACCATTAAAAGTTTCATAGAATTCACTTGCTGCGCTCTGAAATACATAAAATAGAAGTTTATCTTATTTTGAATAACATATTTTTAATTAATTTTTTGCGCTGAATATTACTTTATTAGATTGAATATTGTGTAAATTATGAACATTATGTAAAATTTATATGTATATAAATAAAATAGGACAATTATTCCAATTTATCAAAATTGGAAGTATGTTATATTACTCCAAACAGCTCACCGATGACCTAAAGGTGATTAGAGCCATATACTGATTTGGACTGCCGTCTCTGAGGATTCTAAAGTATTGTATATCTTGATGACAAGCTGCTGTGAATGTTAAAAGATCATGACAAGTCATTGTTGCTGGTACTGATAGGATACAGATAGTATGACTGCGATCTGCGGCACAATGCATTTCAGTTAATTCACTGTAATCAAAAGGTAAAATTATGAATAATTAATATTATATTTTCAAGTTGTTAATTGTATACAAAATTCCCACTTGTTCAAAGTTCACTTTTTCTTAGTGTAAATGTTGAAAGAATTGACATTTATTACACAGCTTTCCAACGTTTAGCAGCATACATTTAATAAAGTTTCAACTGAGAATTCTTACATAAATACCATCTGACGTTAGCTGAAGAATATGATTCAATTTAATAAGTGAATTAGTTTTCTTTTCTAATGCTCTTATACACTACCACTCAAAAGTTTCAGCGCGTTTTATGCTTTTACTGATAAATTCATTTTTTACATATACAATACAGAACTATTGTGGAATAAATATAAAATATATGATATTTTCTCTTTCTCTCTCTCTCTCTCTCGCCCTCTCTCTTATTCTCATTCATGAAAATATTCAATAAAATCATAAATGGCTGAAAAATAAATGGTAAAAAATCTAAATAAATTTTTCAAATGAATAAATATGATATGTAGAGGTGTATATAAATTGGAAAAAATATCAATTTCAAATTTTATACTGGACATTGATATATATTTAAGTAAATGGTATATAAATAATATTCTCACACAGATATTGGAGCATCAAGTTAAACACAATTTTTTATTAAGATACTTGAAAAACTTATCGACAAAATATTAAGAATTTTGTTATTAAAGCTTTTAAGATTATAGATTTTGAAAAATAAAAAGTCTAAAAAGGACACATCCTATTTGTCAGTTCAAGAGAGTAAATATGTAATATAACAAATTAAAAAACACAAATATAATATAATGGAGATTGTGCTGAAACTTTTGAGCAATAGTATAATTCAAAGATGATTGTGATGCTATACAAATTATATAGTTTAGAATGGCTCAGAGCAAAAAGGCAATGGCTTACTCTTCCTTAAATAGATGAAGGATGCCTTTTGTAACTTCAACAAAAGGGTTTCCAGAGATAAAGCTTATTTGATCGGGTGAGGTGCAAGCGGCAGCACCAGTTATCTCTCCTGAAGTAGAACTCGTGACATGATTAGAATTTACAAATGATGTTTCTTCGGAATTAGTTCTTGAGAACGACTGTGATTTGCTTGTGCTTTGATTTGATAATAATGGAGATGTAGTTTCTGCCTTGTTTGTATAAGTCTCAACATCAATATCCCTTGGTTCTCTGCAACCCCTCGTCTTCTTTGCAGCCATTGTACCTATGATATTTGTTACTTGTAATTGTTACATTTAATTGATTACTTCATCGTTATCAATTTGTTAAAAGACTATGGAAAAAATTAAACAGACAGAGACATTAAAAATTATTTATATTGATAATTATAATAAATATTATATTCAAGAATGAAACGTTTATGCTTACTGGTAGTCTCTGCTAACTCCGAATCACAAATCTCGATGCGAATAACGCACAAAGACACCAAAACAGCTGATGAATTCATGCCACATAATTAAATTATGACATATTATAATAAATATTGCTTTTTATTCATTAAGTCGCCATTCACACACGGAGTAATAAGGAGATTAAATTCAATCTACTTGATGTAATTCAATGTAATTCTTCTTCTAGCTTCTAGCTTAATTGGCCAGGCAACCAACTGGTAGGATTCAATGTAATTCCATGTGTAATTCGAGGAAGTCGACAATTAAAAGTGAGCACACATGAAAAACGTTATGATACGATTCGAGTGTCATTGCGGGAAAAGTTGGAAGTATATACTACATGATAAAGCCCGTTCTATGATAAGTTAGGAGCCGTTGTCGGATGTCGTGCCGTAAGAAATTAACCAATCATGATAGATTGTTTTCAATTGTGATTGGCCAATTTCTTACGACACGACATACGACACGGCTCCTAACTTATTGTAGAATGGACTAGAGGCGTCTCTAGAATGGGCTTTAACCCTTGGTGGAAATTTTTTTTTTCCGGATTCGACAGACTGCACTGGTGTGCACTGAGCAGCACTGAGTGCAAACTATTTCCAGTACATTCAGATTATCTTATTCTGTAATTGAAAACTTAATTTTATTGGAACATTAGAATATTATTCCTTAAAAGTAACAAATATTTATAATAAAGGAGAAAAAAGGATTAATTATTATTAATGTGCATTTCTTCTGTTTGATTTATATGGTTAATAGAAATGTCAAGTATGAGTTATTTTAGCGATTTGCATCAACTGTCGGGTAAGTGATATTTTTATTTAAAAAAAATTGATGTGTAATTAAAGAAAATATTTAATTAATAAATTCTACAGTTATTAGAAATATACATATACATTGCAGGCATAAAGCACTGTTTATAAATATACTTTTTATTTTCCTTTGTGCTTTTTCAGATATTTCCAGTATTTCTGCAATCTCCCAATCCAGTAATAACAATAAATTTGTGATAATCCAAGAAACAAATGGAATCGAAAAAACGATAAAATCGTTAGCATTATGTGAGAAAAGTATAAATGAACGTGTCAAAATCAACATTATCTATCAATGTATAAAGAAAGCATCTTTGAATCTCAAAAATGTTCTTTCCAAAAACACAGCTAGCAAATTACAAACATTACTTTTAATTCATGAATTGGATAAATATATGTATCTTCCTTCGACAACAAAACATATGCAAGATAAATTGGTACTTCTGGGCATTTGTGATTTACCATCATGTGACTTAAATTCTGATGAAAAGTTAGAAGTGAAATGTTGCATCGAGACAATGTTACGAGAAATAATATATGATATGATACTGAGGTAAGTGTTTTACCATTGGTATGTAAAAAAAATTTTGCTATGTATATATCAAGTTATATAACAATATTAATTTATATGATTAATAAAATTATTTTGATATCTGTATGTTATAAGATATGAAGCCTTAGGAGGTAATGTTAAGGAAGCATCAAAGGACAACTGTAAGATACACAACAAATTTTTGGAATATCACGATGTACCTGCAGTACAATGGAAGAATAAAATTGAGGATTTGATTGTGCAATGCGAAAATGACTTGCTGAAATATATAAACTTAATGGACAAGTGGAATAAGCTGAAATATGAAGATATGAACCAAGCATATTTAGAAAAGACAGGCTATTTACTGTTGCAGGCACAAGTTGCAGAGTTGCAAGCAAAGATAACGAAACTTTCTTGCACAATCAGAATGTTCAAAGAAACTTCAACTACCATTGATGCTTATAAAATGCTAAATCAATTAGTCGAAAAGAAATTAAAAATAATTACAGATGAAATTCGCCAAAAGGAAGATTTAAAGAAGCTGTATGATAATATGAAGGATGTAGAATATGATCAGGTCTTATTAATCTATTCACAGCTCTGCAATGCAATAAAGAAAAAAAAACATATCTTGGACATGTTGAAATAGTTTTATAAATAAAATTGGAGGATTTAATAATTAAAGTAATAAGTATACATATATATGTGTATGTGTATATATATATATATATATATCTGGTTAAAAGCAAATATTTTTTACATTTATGTTTTATGATAGTAAATAAATTTTTGATAAATATTGTATGTGGCGTAGGTGTTAATTATTACATTATTTTGATTTATTAAAATGTATTAATGGATTATCTTAAAGAGAATAATTTTTATTCGCTATCGGAAACTCTATTTTCATTCTTCATAACAATAAGTGGTATGCAATTTTTATCAGCGAGAATTCCATGTTCGATTAGAAATGCTTCTACGTCCGATGAATAAAAATCCACTCCCAGATGATCCGTAACATGAACAAAGTTTCCAATTACTTGTCCATTTTTATATACCAACAATGTTGGTATACCAAATTTCTTGAATTGTTTACTGAGACCTGCAACTGAGCCTAAAAAAAAAAGTTCCAAAAAATTGCAAGAAAAACATATTTGTTACACATTTGAATTATAAAGATAGAAATTTTTTTCTGAAAATCTGAAGAATATTGATATAAAAAATGAAAACATTTTATATGCTATATAAAATTAGTTCTGTTTAAAAATGAGTCAGAGAACAAGATTTTTTACTGTTTACTTTCAAAGTAAAACTTTAATTATAGTTGAAAGTATTAAAGTTTAATGAATGACATTGACAATGTAAATCACATTTCTTTACATATAACCTGAAAGTTAACAAACCTAAAATTTTACAAAATTTGACGTAAGGATGTTCTTCTGCAAGAGATATCAAACATCCATTCATGGCTTCACAACCAGATACATTATCTTCATAAATGTGAACGATAACAATTACTGATTTATCTTCTTCATCAATGGCTTGTAGAAACTGATCTGTGTTCTCCAAATTGATAACTTTCCCAAAACAAAGTTTTTCTGTTTTTGTAAGCATTTCTTTCATTCTTTGTCTTTGATATTCTAGAAGAAATTCATCAGTTAATAAATTTGCCAACTCTGGATCTGTCTCATTCAATTTTTCCTTTTCTTCATCTAAAGCACTGCGGCATGTTAAACTTAGTTTGTTAATCAACTGTAGTTTTTCTTTCTCTTGTGATTCTCGTTTTTCTGCTTCTAACTGCTTATATCGTTGCCAATCCTTCCAAAAGTATATTTCAAATTAATGTTAAATTATCCATTTCATATTTGATTGACAATAAAACTTAAATATATATATGATATGTACACATGTGTTTAATTTCATGTTTTTAGATTGTTATATCTTTCCATAATTAAAATATAATTATAATAAACACTGTATATAAAATTATACCTTTATAACACCTTTAGGTCCTGTGTTACTGGAAGTTCCATCCCATTTCGAATATGAAGGTATAATATATTGTGCAGTATCATCAATATATTTGATATCATTACATTCTTTATCAGAATCTCCAGAATCATTTCCCTCATCTTCACTGGAACTGCTGCAGTAATAATGTAATTTTTCTCCCAAAATTTTATCCTCCAATGTTGACATGATGTTCCACTTTGAGAAACTTTGTAGAAAATAATAAATTACCCTGATAAAAAAAATTAATAAAGAACGATAGAAAAATCCTATCATTTTGAATATGGAATCTGGTTCATGAATTCACTAATTTTAATCAAATCTTATAGGAATCTTGTACAAATCTTATAAAACTTGATAAAATATGATAGAATTCATAGCCGATCAATCGTGATGCTCGCAATATCGACGATAAAAAATGATATAAACTTATATAAAACAATATAAATTGATAGAAATGTTATCGTTCTTAATCGTTCTCTATCAATTTTTTTTAACAGGATAAATATGTAGCCTTCAATTTGAAAACAATACAACTTATTTAAATTTTGACTATTTTTTTTTAATATCGCTCAAAATTTATACAGTTGTAAAATGTTTTATGATTGAAAATATAATCAGACGGATTTTCTAACTTAATTAATATTAAACATAAATCTACGGAGTAATAAATAAATCATTGTAAAGAATTTCATTAAATCTTACAACTCGCTCAATATAGAGAGATTCCCAAAGTCTTTTCTTCTACAATAGTAAATAAATTTTTTATTGCACGTCACGTATATTTATATTTTACAAATAAGATAAAAAGAATGTCCTTATTTTTCAATGGTTTAGATTTAGAAACTCTTTACTGACACACATGTAAAGAATACAAATTGATCCAAACCTGAAGAAGAGCTCTATATAACACAACACCACAGTACTCTACGTATTGTTTATAAATAATATGTATGAAGAGATTCTCTATGATAGCGACGTTAGTGTTCAATTATGTTAACTTTATCCAAGTGTCAAGTTCTTGTCGATAAAAGACGATATTGACAAATTTACATCTTTGATATAATGATCGACAGTTGATAATGTTAGTAATCTGCATTTTCATTTATCAACCAAATTTTCCGGCTCGCAAAAAATATAAAACCATTTTAGTTCGATTATTTAGATAATCTAGATAAAATGGCTTTAATACTAGAATACACGAGGCTCGTTTTTTTCACTGAACTGGTGCACAGAGTGCAATAAATTGAAGTGAAACAGATATACGTTTGTTTCATTTCAACTTATTGCACTGTGTGCACCAATTGAGACAGTGCAGGCAAAAAGAACAAGCCTTGATATATTATATATTATATATATATATATATAAGTACGCGCGCTTAAAGATTTTAAGCGCAGATTTCTCACATAAATTTAAGTTGGAAACTTTGTATGACCATATAAAGTTCGAAAAATGTAAAAATATTTCTTATTTTTAAAAATTTCGAAAAATAAATAATTGGTTTCTTCAATTAGTGTTATGATTCTATCGCACACAAACATCAGTTGCTTGGTTTTAATAAAAATTAAACTATGCTTGAAAAATGTAAAAAATTAAAAGTTAGATAAAAAAATTTTATTTATATTATATATACATACATATATATGATATATGTATGGTTAGCCCGAAGATAAAGAATTTGCCGCGTTCATAATGTTCGTACTTATTGCATAATTAATGTATTAGTACATATATCTGGTGCGCTAATAATAAATTAACGCTTTTCCCAGTGAGAAATGATGACAATGGAATCGACGTCGAATCGATGTCAATTTGACAACGATTTGATAATTTTGATGTCGAACCGACATCAATTCGATGTAGATTCCATTATATATATCGTTCTTAATTATTCAGTACAGGTTATCGAATTGATTCTTATAATTAATTATATTATTTCACGAATATTGTTCGAACCTGAAACGTGTATATGATACAAATGCAATTGATTTGCATTGTCGATTGTAGTTGTATTATGTTTTTCATTTAAATACTTTAATTAATTAAAGTTGAGAGAGAGAGAGAGAGAGAGAGAGAGAGAGAGAGAGAGA